ATGTTGGGCTTGGGGGGTGGGGTGAGTGGGGAGGATAGGGTGCCGGTTGGGGAGTTTGTGATTCTTTCTATTGTTGAGGAGGCGGGGAGGGAGTTTGAGAAGAGGGTCGAGGGAATTAGGTCTAGAGCCGACCGTGTGTTTCCGCGGAGTGAGATGAAATGGAGATTTGGTGATTTACTGGGCGAGGGGAGGATGTTGTCGGAACATGATTTTGGGGTCCTGTTAAAGTTTTTGCAGAGGGATAGAGGGGTTTTGGTTTACGACGATGAGACGGTGAAGCTTTGTCAGGGGGAAAGGGAGGAGATCACCGAGGAGGATACTACCATAGTTTCCCTCAAGACTTTGATCAAAGACCTTGAAATTCAGACCCAAGTCCTGACCAAGAGAGTCGAGGAGTTGGAGATCACCGCAAAAGACGCCGTTACGCGTAAGAACCGAGTCGCTGCCCTCGCAGCTCTTCGCTCAAAGAAACTCGCCGAAACAACACTCACCAAAAGACACGCTACTCTCGCTCAACTAGAGGAAGTATTCAACAAGATCGAACAGGCCGCAGACCAAGTCGAGTTGATCCGAGTCATGGAAGCTAGTACGCAAGCACTCTCAAGCCTCAACAAGGCAGTCGGAGGCGTAGAACGAGTGGACGACGTGGTTGACCAACTAAGAGAGCAAATGAGCCAAGTCGATGAAGTCGGCAATGTTATAGCAGAAGTTGGTCAAGGTGCTACAGTCGTGGATGAGACGGAGGTCGACGATGAGCTAGAAGCCATGGAACGCCAGGAACGAGAAAAGATGGAAGCGAAAGAGCGGAAGGAAAGAGAAGCAAGGGAAGAGAAAGAAGCTGCCGAGACGAAACGACGGCTGGATACTTTGAAGGAAGTAGAGCAGGCGACGAAGGAAGCCGTAAGCAAGTCACAAGAAGCAGATACGGAAATGGATCAGGAGACGGAGGAGGATCTGGAAGACAGTATAGAGAGGATAAAAGTCATGGCCTTATGATCAGTCATGAATACGAGGTCTGTTAAATCACGGGGTAAGTATTTTCACGGCGTTGTTGATAGATGGAAGGGGGTATTATCACGCGGCTCTGTGATGAGCTACCTCTGAACATAAATTTGTTATTATTGTAAAAATTACTGGAACCATTCTGGCTTCTCATGATACGAAGGCCCATTCTCAAAACCATTCGAATGAGTCGAATAAGCGGGGTACATGCCTGGGTACTTATCTGAATTCGAATCAGGAAGACCTTCAATGCCTTCTGGAACCCTGAGCCGTGGAGTTGGACGTTGATCATTTCTATCAGGTAATCCGTATTGCCCATTATGCGTATTATGAGTGGCAGAATTTTCTGTAACCCCGTTCTGAGAAACTGGAGTTCGAAAGTCCGCGCGATGCGTTTCGTATGGCCCTTGAAATTCATCATTGGCAGGAGTAGGTCGTTGATTTGAGATATAAGGTTGAGAGTTCTGCTTCTTAGGTGATGGGCTTTCCTTGGCAGCTCTTTCAGCAGCCCGCCTATCTTCCTGTTGGTAAAACAACTCAGTTTGTCGTTCCCAATCTTGCCTAGTGGGGGGAGTCGACCACTCATTTGAATTATGAGGTTGGGAGTTTTGCTTTGTAGGTGATGGGCTTTCCTTGGCCGCTCTCTCAGCAGCCAGCTTATCCTCATGTTGGCGAAACAACTCAGCTTGTCGTTCAAAATCTTGCAGAAAGGTAGTTGGGGGATTCGAAGTGCGCACAGGATCCACCAGAGGCGCTAGAATCGAAGAAGCTTCAGGGACACTTGAGACCGGAGGAGAAAGTAAAGGAGACTTCGGTCGAGATTCTAATAGCTTTTTTGATTCCTGTGCTTTCTTCTTTGCCTCAGCAATCAATTGTTTGAACGTGTCGTCATTTCGATTCGACCATGCGTCCCTATCAAAGTCCTTGCTTCGTATCTGTGCTCCAGAAGAGTTCATTTGCGATGCGTGAGCGCCCTGAGTTCGTTCCCATACATCTAACTCGCCTCTTAATTCTGCTTTACTCTTCGGGTGAGTGGCATCGCAATTAGCATTCCATAAGGTTATCCACTCCGTAAATCTCCGCTGCATCTCGGCTTTGGTGCCCCAAGTTGGAATTGAATGCTCCGCAAGCTTTTTTCGAAGGACAGCATCTTTCATCGTTGCGTAATGAACTTGCGCTAATCTTTCGGGTCGCTTCTCTGGCGCTTTGCCTTTCGCTGGCAATATTGAGGCTTTCTTGCTAACGTTGAATTTTGCGGGTTCGTCTGGACATCCTCGGTCGATATGGGAGTTTATAGAAGCTTCCTTAACTCTTTTGGAGCATATGGGACATTGTACACAGCCATCCTCTAGAATTAAATGTTAGTTGGATCTATGAGTTCGGAGTCCTGCAAGAGTTGGGTTAAAGGGATTACATACCGGGTATATATTCGTCATCCTCTTGATCCGAGTCTACTATCACAACTTGCTGCGTCGACCAAGTCTGCCTGGTTGATCTCGTCCTCTTCTTCCTCGATGGTTCCTCGTCATCTATAGCGTGTGACTTCTCTCGACCTCGTTTTGGCGCACTTTCCCCAGCCGGCACAATTGGTCGGGTCGCAAATGCAAATACCTCCGGTCTTGCTTTCTTAAACCCCTCCACCAAATCCTCCATTGCCCCATTAAATCGCAGCTTCAGCTCTTGGTCTGCGGTTCTACAAGCAGGGCATTTTCCATCGTTACCGAGACATCTCCGTATACAAAGCGAGCAGAAGGTATGTGAACAAGATGTGATCATGGGCGTTGTGTAAAAGTCCTTGCAGACTTGACATCGAAGGGCAGCGTCGACTGCAGATAGCGATTTAAGTGCAGTCTCAAGCCAATCCGTCGGGTCGGAGACATCGTATGCATCGAGTTGTTGGTGTTTATTGCTCATTTTGTATTGTACAATAGGTTGTCAGGGTAGAGGTTGAGAAGCTGGCAGCGAGTCAATGTTCCATAGAGTCAACTGGGTAGTGTGATGAATTGCGCTGATGCCTTTGAGCTCTGCACGAATTCACAAGTGGCAAGCGGGGTTCCTGCAGGAACTTGCAAGTGAACGTATAAACCTGAGTAGGTTGGGGTGTGGCGACAAGGCTGATGTGTGATGAAGGTGATGAAAGAACTTGTGGCTGTCGCGTTAAGTGGAAATCGCGTCTCTCCAGGAGAGACGCGCTGGCGATTTACGCATCCCGAGGTTCCAATGAGTAAATGTAGAAAACCAGCAACCACACCAGAACAAAACAACAGACACAATGGCAGATTACAAGAGCTACTTAGCTGCGAGGATATTGACCGAAGACAATGCCATCACCTATCGACTCTTGAGCCGTGTATTGAAGGTCCATGTTAACGATGCGAAAGAGTAAGTACATGTCTCCCCGCCAACTCTGGAAGCTGCTAACTGATAATTGCTAGAATGCTCTATGACTTCCACAAAAGTCAAAACCAAAAGAAACCTGGAAGTGTTCATGCGACGTATTTAGTCAGCGGCACAAAACGAACAGAAGATCCACCAGCCACGATTGGAGGGGTAAAGGACGAGGATGGGGATGATTACATGCATAGCAGTCCATTCATGGGCAGTTCCATGCTACAACCTGAGCAAGAACAAGGCACGGGAGCAAGTTCAGTTCTGGAAATCACCTTGGTTCGAGAGGAAGATCTGGAGAGTAAGTCGATATCTACCCTCAGTACAAGCAGACTGCTAATCCCAATCCCTAGAATTACGCTCCGAATATGAACAAATCAACTCAATACACATCTACAGTCTCGAACCCAATCCACTCAAAGACCTCCAAATCCTCTCCGACGTGACCCGCGAACTGCAAGAACTCTGCGCCTCGGGAGACGCCCTCGAGTCTCTTTCTACATACGGAGCTATAACGAACCCCTCCGCCAAACGACGAGCAACACGCAAACCCCCACCACCCGCCGCAACGCAAT